TATCTTATATATTATATAATATATATTATATATTTGTATTATATATTATGCATATAAATCTATATAATATTTATGTTACACATATAAATCTATATATATATTTTAGAGATAGGATCTTGCTATGTTACCTCCACCTCCTGGGCTCAAGTAATCCTCGTATCTCAGCCTCCCAAGTAGCTGGGATGATATGTGCAGTCTAACACACCGGATTAAAAACTTTTATAATGAGAAAAGGAAGCCTGGGCAACACGGCAAAACTCCGTCTCTGCAAAAAATACAAAAAGTAAATAAATAAAAAACCAAAAAAAAGAAAAAATAATTAGCTAGGCATGGTGGTGTATGCCTGTAGTCCCAGCTACTCAGGAGGCTGAGGTGGAAGTATTAAGCTCAAGTCGAGGCTACAGTGAACCAACATTACTCCCCTACACTCTAGCCTGTGTGACAGAATGAGACCCTGCCTCAAAAAGAAAAAAGGACCTAGTAACATTTGTGCCTGGTGTATTTTCTCTAACATACATAATAATTTTTTTTTTGAGATGGAGTTTTGCTCTTTTTGCACAAGCTGGAGTGCAATGGCATGATCACAGCTCACTGCAACCTCCGCCTCCTGAGTTCCAGCAATTCTCCTACCTCAGCCTCCCAAGAAGCTGGAATGACAAACATGTGCCACCATACCTGGCTAATTTTTGTATTTTTAGTAGGGACGGGGTTTCACCATATTGGTCAGGCTGATCTCGAACTCCAGACTTCACATGATCCATCTGCCTCGGCCTCCCAAAGTGCTGGGATTACAGGCGTGAGCCACCACGCCCAGCCACATAACAATTTTTTTAAGGCCAGTAAAGTAAGGAAAATTTACCCATGTACTTCCTCAGTTACCTCATGAACTCTCCAGTCAGTGATCCACACTTCCACACCCACACCCTTTTTTGGGAATCTGATGTATCTCTTTCTAGAAATTCTAGAAGTTTTCCTGAAATTATTTCTAGTTATCTCCTCAGTAAGAAAAATCATTTTTCTTTTCTTTTTTTTTTTTGAGATGGAGTTTTGCTCTTGTTGCCTACGCTGGAGTGCGATGGCACAGTCTCGGCTCACTGCAACCTCCGCCTCCTGGGTTCAAGTGATTCTACTGCCTCAGCATGGGATTACAGGCACCCGCCACCATGCCCAGCTAATTTCTGTATTTTTAGTAGAGACGGAGTTTCACCACGTTGGCCAGGCTGGTCTTGAACTCCTGACCTCAGGTGATCTGTCTGTCTCAGCCTCCCAAAGTGCTGGGATTACAGGTGTGAGCCACCAAATCTGGCCTCTTTTTTTTCTTTTTTAATTTATTTCTTGCTTGAGAAAGAAAAATCACTTTCTACTCAGGTTTTAGATGTAGAATAAAAAGTTAAGGAATAAGGAGAAGGTAGAGGACCAAGATAATTTCGGAAGTGTTGGATGGTTCTAGAAACTGAAATAGCCTTGACAAAACCAAGACAAATAATTAGCATAAATAAAAGTTTTATTGGTCAGTTTGGGTGAGTGACAAACTGACATGCCCCCAATTCACTATTCCACATATCCAAGCCCCTGAGGTGGCAAGAGGAGAAGCTAAGCTTATTAATGGTAGGCAATGGGTGAAAGGTGGAAAGGACTTTGAAGGCCTCTGAGGGTTAACAAGGCTACCGGGACCGGAACCAACGTCCTAGGAATAAGTCCAGGATAGAGAAGGCATCATCCAGGGCTGGAGGTCTTGGTGATTCTGGATCTAAGGAAGAAAGTCATACACACAAATAGGCTAAATGAAAGAGACCAGGCAGAAGCAAAGGAGAGAAATAATATTCAAGGGTAGAAGAGTAAGAGTTCCCTTCCCCAAGGAATCTTGAGATGAACCCCTTTGTCTTTTAACTTACCACCCCTAGGACTGCTCTCTGCTTCGTGTCGGGTTACTGTAGTCTCTGTCCGGCCCTCACTGTCCACCACAGTCCGGCGCTCCTCCACTATCTACAAGGAGAAGTCCCCACCATATTCCTCACATCACTAAAGATAACTCTCAGCAGTTTCTTTACAGAGATCCCTGTTTATTTACAGAGATTCCTGTTTCAGGGCATTCATTCCCTGGCCACAATTTCCTTTACCTCTTTCTTTCAACTCACCCCATCTGGTTTAGTGATCTTGGTTACAGAGATGCTCTTGAAATAGGATTTGGGCTGGGGCTGTAGAACCGGGCCAAGACCCTCCTGGGAAACCTGGGAATCAAGATCTGGAAGAGCAGAGAGATGAAGAAGCAGGAGAGAAAGAGTCCAAGGGAAAAAAGGAGACAAGTGTACAGGAAGAAACTTCAGGGAGGGAAAATGGACAGAACTTCAGAAGAATAACAAAAGGCTGATAAACCTCCCCTTCCTCCAGACTTACCATTGTCCTCTCTGGTTCTAGGATGGGGGTCCACAGGCCATATGTCATCAAACTGCAGAAGAAACCATAGTAAGTGAAAAGACATCTTCTAATCTGAAATTTGAAAGGTCATAGACCTCAAACTAATCCTGAGCTCCAAAACCCACTGCCCCGGGGGAGATAATTCCATTCCGAATAGCTTTATTTATACACTCCTTCCTCCTTCCTGGCTGTTTTATGTATCCTTCTACCAGAAAGACTTCCTGAACTGATATATGCCTATACTCTGTGCACAATCCTGCCTTATCCAAGAATTATCTAGACCAGTGGTGGTTTATTGTTTTTTTTTTAAGAAAGAGAACACCCATCTCCCCCCCAAAGAAAATACCACAAGCTTAATAGAGAAAACAGAAAACACTAAAGGGAGGGCTTAGGATTCCAGCCCAAGGCTATCAGATTCAAACAAGAATTGCAATCTTTGGCCAGGCATGTTGGCTCACACCTGTAATTCCAGCACTTTGGGAGGCCAAGGTGGGTGGACCACCTGAGGTCAGGAGCTCGAAAGCAGCCTGGCCAATATGGTGAAACACCGCCTTTACTAAAAATACAAAAATTAGTCAGGCGTTTGGCAGGTGACTGTAATCCCAGCTACTCAGGAGGCTGAGGTAGGAGAATCGCTTGAATCTGGGAATTGGAAGTTGCAGTGAGCTGAGATTGTGCCACTGCACCACAGCCTGGGTAACAGAGCAAGGCTGGGTCTCAAAAAAAAAAAAAAGTTGAATTTTTCTTTTTTTTTTTTTTTTTTTTTGACATGAGTCTCCACCTCCTGGGTTCAACCAATTTTCCTGCCTCAGCCTCCCGAGTAGCTGGGATTACAGGTGCCCGCCACCACGCCCGGCTAATTTTCTGTATTTTTAGTAGAGACATGGTTTCACCATGTTGACCAGGCTAGTCTCGAACTCCTGACCTCAGGTGATCCACCCTTGGCCTCCCAAAGTGCTGGGATTACAGGCGTTAGCCACCGCGCCTGGCTAGTCTTTGCACTTTATTAGTGGTCTCTCACAAGCTCTCACTTTAGGACCCGATGGGATACTCACCCTATGAAATGGTCTCTGGGAGCCCCAGTCTGGTGCTGGTTTGGGGGATTCACTTCTTCCATCACTCTCCAAGACCCCCCCAAAGATCCTGGGCTGGTGACTATCTGGATACTTAAGCATTGAGTCCCGAAGTGTCTGTCCCTCCCGCAGTCTCTCACCAGGTGTCTCTGACTCAGGACCTGGGAGTTCTGCAGAAAGGTGGCAGGTGTTTGCTGGGGTGGGAAAGGACTTGGGCTCTATAAATCTCCCTGAAATCATCAGTTTTCTCACACTTCCCATCCCCCAGCTACTCCCTGCAGGCTCTTTATTTCACCCACCAACCCACTAGAAACCGCAGGTTGTCCCTCAGGGAAAGCCACACACCAGGAGGATGGGAAGGCAAGGTCCAGGCCCCCATATCGCTGAAGATGCTATTGAAATCTCGTACTAGGTCATCAAAGCCGAAGTTATCGTGGAAACGTATCCCTCCTCCTGGGCTGAAGCTGAAGCCGAAGCCAAATTCCTCAGGGGGGTGCTGAGGACTATGGAACCTTGGGTTCCCACGGCCCCATGAACCCCCTTCTTCCTCTTCTTCCTCATCATCATCTTCATCTCGAGTCATCCCTCCAAAAAAGGGATCTCTGTGGCTGAAAGTGGAGGCAGGTTGGCCACCAAGATGTCAGCACGATTTAAGCCATAAAATCAACTCATGGGTGGCAAAGTGGGACAAGAGCAAGGGGTCTGGGAAGCTGGGGAGAGGGTCGGAGGACTGGTTGCCGCATCAAAACATTAATACAATGGCTGACAGTTCTTTCTTTCTTTCTTTCTTTCTTTTTTTTTTAATCAAAGTCAGACCTCAGCTCGCAGCTCCCTTCTTACACCTTCCCCCAGAGTCCCTCCCCTCTCTCCCAAGGTCCTGCTCACTTGCTCACTGTCCTATTCTCCCGACCCCCATTGTCTTCCCCGCCCGGGTCCCTGTTGCATCACCCCAGGTTGGAGAAAGGCTTAGTTTGCTGTTTCTCCTCTTAACGACCGCCTTGGTTACTGGCGGGGTGTGTATTCAATGTTGCGACTTCTGTCCTCTCTACAGGAGTTGAAGGAGTGGGACAGAGGATGTTTTTCCAAAAAATAAGACGTAGGGGTCAAGCTCCCCTCAGACGACCCCCACCCTTGTCCAAGCCGGACCTACTCTCACCTCCGAGGTCCAGGAAAGCCGAAAAAGCCCCGGAAGAGATCAAAGAGGCTCATTCCCGTATTGGGACGCGAACCTTTGAACCCCTCCAGTGGTCCATTCGCAGAAGGGGCAAACCTGCGCAGCCCTGTGGGAAATTGAGCGAGGCGTCAGCCCACGCTACCGGAAAGCAAGCCCGCGATCCTGACACTGTCGTAAACGACTGTAAGCCGGACATGCAAGGGAGGCGGGACGGAAAGTCTTCCTCAAATTTGAAAGGCTTTACCTTACTCCACCTTTTAGAGACCAGTTTCCGTGACGGGAGTGAGCGTGACGCACTTTCAGTTTCCTATGACCGCCTTCCTCCTAAACCTGTTCTTCTTTCTGGAGACAACTCAGTCCGAAAAGCGATTTCGAGGGTTTGACTCTGGATGGCACCCGCATAAAGCCGCCAGAGGGCAGCCCAGCCGCACAGATGAACCGGCTTGATGGCATCCCTCAACCTCCCCACCCCCGGGGCTGGCCAGCCTAACAGCAGAAGCCACCTCGCCTCTTACTCGGGCGTTCCTTTTGACTGACCTGGGTGACGTCTGCTGTTAGAGGGATGAACAAAATGCTTTTCCAAGCTCTTTCTAGTATTGAATTCCCCAGAGAAGAGATCAAGACATAAGAGACGCATGGACTTAACTTCTTCCACCTCTCTAGCTACTAGGGAGTTTGTTATAACCATATAGGATTCTTTTATCTAAGCAGGCTCTGCAACCAGCAAGACAAAGGATTTGTAAGGGAAGGGAAACTAGTTGTGTCCTGAGAAGGAACAAATTGGGGGCGATAAAGAAGTATCCCTTTGGTATCTTTTTTTTTTTTTTTTTTTTTTTTTTTTACAAATTTTTCTCTCATGTCTCCCAGGCTGGAGTGCAGTGGCACCATCTCGGCTCACTGCAACCTTCGCCTCCCAGGTTCTCTCCTGCCTCAGCCTCCTGAGTAGCTGGGATTACAGTCATATGCCACCCTGCCCGGCTACTTTTGTATTTTTTGTAGAGACGGGGTTTCACCATGTTGACCAGGCTGGTCTCGAACTCCCGACCTCAGGTGATTTGCCCACCTTGGCCTCCCAAAGCGACTGGCCTCATTTTGTTTACTGTTGTATCGATTTTCAAAGCCTATCCGAAACCTGTCTCTCCCTGTACCCCATCCCCAAGCCAGACTTGGCTCTAGATTCTTTTTCAAAGAATTGGGTATAGCTATGTCACAGAAAAGCACCCAAGAAGCAACTACTACAGTAGTCCATTCCTAGGGGGAATGTGCCCCAAGGTTTTGGTTTATTTCGTTTTTGGGGTACAGGTGGTGTTTGGTTACATGGATGAGTTCTTTAGTGATTTCTGCGACTTTAGTGCACCCATCACCCGAGCAGTGTACACTGTACCCAGTATGTAGTCTTTTATCCGTCACACTACTCCAAGATTTAGTTCTGTCAGACGATACATGTTGCCTTCACTTCTTTTTAGTTTATTTACCTGGACCCATTTAAGTCATAACTTAAAACTCTATAAAGCCATTTTTTTCCTTTGAAATGGTCTCAGCTCCTTCTTGATCCTCTCCATTTTCCACCCAATCTCCTCTATCCCTCTCCCTTTACTGCCTGAAATCGGCTGTAGATGTAGCAGTTTCTGGAGGAAATGAAGATTTGTGGTGGTTCTTTCCAGTCAACAGGTTGTGAAAGTCTTAGGGGTGAAGGGAAGGAAATCCCCTCAAGGACAAGATACTACTACCACATTAAGGTCAGGAGTTCTTAAAGGGCGAAGATTTCATTTTATTCCACTGCCTTCAGGGGCCTGCTAGAGGAGGCCCCGTTGGTACAGTAATACTTATTCACCAAGCTGGTCATCGACGAAATTGAGGATGTCCTAGACGGAGCAAGAATAGGCAGAGGCTGAAGGTAGAGGTTTTCTTTTTATATATACAAGACACATTAATCCATTAAATTTGAGGACACAGTACAAAAAAAAAAAAAAAAAAAAAAAACACTTCAACTAATTCATCTGACAATGCTGTTCATATTCATGACGCCATTTTTTTTTTGTTTGTTGTTGTTGTTTTCCTAATAATAAAGGAGGAGACTTAGGGCTGTTGGGCTGATATATATTTGGGGGTCCCACCTCCCCACCTCATCCGTACACCACCAGGGTGAACAGGAGGAAGCAAAGGAAGGGCAGGGCCCATAGCAAAGTTTCATAATCTTGAATGCAAGAGGGGAGAAGGAATGGAAGGGGGGAAAAAAAAGGAGAAAATACAAATCCTATAATACATACAACAGGGTGGGGATGGTATAGGAATGGGACAGACATGAAGCTGAGGCATGGGGTGGGCCGCTGGGGGTGGGGGGCAGCGGAAACCCCCCACATTCCTTTCTCTTTGATGTTGTTTCCATAGTTTCCAGGCTGAGAAGCCCTCTCAGAAGATGGGACCGGGAGAAGAGGGTCAGGGCCTCAGTTGGCCCCCCAGCTGTAGCTGTTGTAGGCAGACTTGTTGGTCTGGGGCTTCTGCGGGATGGAGCTGGTCTGGCTACGTTGCCCGCTGCCCGTCTGCAGGGGAATGGGAGGATGATGGGGAGGAAAAAGGTGTCTAGTTAGTGGTACAAATTTGTAACATCTTCAGGTGGAGATGTGCAAACTGTCTTGCTCTCCCATTCCCCTCACTACTATTAGAACCATAGAAAATTTAGTCTGCATAGCTGCTAAAGCCCCTTTCTTACAAGCAGGAAGGCATTTTTGACTTTTAAATAGGGAAAAGATGAAGAGGGCAAGATACCTTTGGAGATAAGGTAGTGAGTTAGTTCTACTCATTTTCAATTCTACCTTCTCCTACTACCCCTTCTCTCCCCTGCTCTTGGAGATGAGTGATCACGAGGCAATTTCATTTCCATTGATCCCCATGAATGCCTCAATTTGGAAAGCTGTCTTTGAGAGGAAGGAAGTCCTTATTCCAGCTCCAGCCACCTATAATGGAGCTCTCAAGAGGCCACTTGCATTGCCCCACAGATCCCCACCCCTACCACACATCGCATCTGTGAGCCCATTTCAGGCAGGTACGAGAGGCAGTCTGAGGCCTCAGGCTGCAGATGCTGCCCCAATAATCTTTTCCATTCTGGTAACCAAATGTTTTCCACAGTTGGGGAAGGGTACAAAGATAAAGAGGGTGTTGGGGAGGGGAGAAGGAGAGAGGAAGGGGAGGCCAGAGAGCTCAGCAAGGTGTTTGTGTTTGTGTATCCCGATTTGTGACCGCGCAGTCTTTTCAAGTTCCCTGAGGCTGTGAAGGTGAAATGGGGACTGAAAAGGAGTGGGTTCAAGCATATGATCATTCAATTTCATTACCTGCTCCTCCTGCTGGCGCTGGCAACAGAGAATCATCTGCAAATATGGTAGCTGAGGCAGAACCAGGATATATGGAAAATAAAGGGACAAACTTTGACAATAGAACTCCACCATTAGAAGGGAAAGCTAAAATGTCAGGGAAGAGGGAAGGCTGGGAGAGGAAAGAGGGGAGGTGTGACCCAGGTCTGATGGGATGAGGACAACTGTGGCACAGGAGGAGAAGGGCACCAAAGGAATTGGGCAAAAAAGGTTTCAATCTGGCCCCTTCTCTGAGATATCCTTTGCCGGCCGCTCGTGTTATGTGCGCTTGTGTCTGTATGTGCTGTGTGCCCATGACTGGCGCTGGGGAGGGATTGGGTGAAGGTGGTGGTGAGGAAGGGTAAGAAAAGGAAAGGGAAGGCAGTTTTAAGGGATAGGAAGAGGAAGGGAAAGGAGAGAGGGGGAAGGGCTATTACCTGGCCATCCTGCTGCAGGTGATGGTGAAGGATCTGAGAGTGCGGCTGCTGATGGGGGGTCAGAATGTGCATAAAGGGGGCAGGTGGGTAGGCAGCAGCTGTGGCCGGATTGATGGGGCCCCCACTTCCTAGGGCTGAAGGCAAGTTGAAGGAAGCAGCAGGAGTACCGGAATGAAAACCTTGTTTCTCAAAGGACTGCTATCCAGGAGGCCAGGAGGAGACAGAGTAAAAGGGATCAGCAAACCAATCTTGGGATTTTCCTGAGCTCAAGCTCCCTGACCCTCAGAAAGCAGCATGGTGTCACAGAAGGCACAGTACACTTGAAATCACATATTCAGGTCTCAGTCTCAGCTCTGCTCTTATTTAATAACTGTGTGAACCTAGGCAAACTACTCAACCTCTTAGCCTCAGTTTCGTCAGATACAAAACAGGGACACTACAAACCTGTTGTAAAGATCAAATAGGCTGGGCACGATGGCTCACACCTGTAATACCAGCACTTTGGGAGGCCGAGATGGCCGGATCACACAGAGTTCGAGACCAGCCTGGCCAATATGGTGAAACCCCATCTCTACTAAAAATACAAAAATTAGCCAGGCGTGGTAGCGGGTACCTGTAAATCCCAGCTACTTGGGAGTCTGAGGCAGGAGGATCACTTGAACCTGGCAGGCAGAGGTTGCAGTGAGTCAAGACTGTGCCACTGCACTACAGCCTGGGAGACAGAGGGAGACTCCATCTGAAGAAAAGAAAAAAAAAAAAAGGGCTGGGCACAGTGGCTCACGCCTGTAATCCCAGCATTTTGGGAGGCCAAGGTGGGCGGGTCACCTGAGGTTAGGAGTTTGAGACCAGCCTGACCAACATGGAGAAACCCGGTCTCTACTAAAAATACAAAATTAGCCAGGCATGGTAGCACATGCCTGTAACCCCAGTTACTCGGGAGGCTGAGGCAGGAGAATCACTTGAACCCGGGAGGTGGAGGTTGTGGTGAGCCAAGATCACGCCATTGCACTCTAGCCTGGGAAACAAGAGTGAAACTCCGTCTCAAAAAAAAAAAAAAACAACCAAAAACAAACAAAAAGACTAAATAAGAGGATGAAATGAGGAAGCACTTTGTAAAACTGAATGTCATATTTGAACATCATGAAATTTGAACTTAGAACTCCAGGCTGGGCATGGTGGCTCACACCTGTAACCCCAGCACTTTTGGGAGGCTAAGGCGGGTGGATTGCTTGAGCCCAGGAGTTCAAGATGAGCCTGGGCAACATGACAAAACCCTGTATCTACCAAAAAACAAAAATACAAAATACAAAACAAACAAAAAACAAAAATACAAAAATTAGGCCTGGTGGTACACACCTATAGCCCCAGCTACTCAGAAGGCTGAGATTCCACCATTGCACTCCAGTCCGGGTGACTTCTTGAGACTGTCTCCAAGAAAAAAAAAAAGCAAACCAAGTGTTCCTATCCCTTCCAATATTCCTTTAAAAAATAATAATAATAAATAAATAATAACTCCGCTGGGCGCGGTGGCTCACACCTGTAATCCCAGCACTTTGGGAAGGCAGGTGGATCATGGGGTCAGGAGTTCAAGACTAGCCTAGCCAAGATGGTGAAACCCCATCTCTATTAAAAAATACAAAAATTAGCAGGCGTGATGGCAGGCGCCTGTAATCCCAGCTACTCAGGAGGCTGAGGCAGGAGAATCGCTTGAACCCGGGAGATGGAGTTGACAGTGAGCTGAGATTGCACCACTGCACTCTAGCCTGGGTGACAGGGCAAGACTCTGTCTCAAAAACAAAAACAAAAAGAACTCCATGGATATTTCAAAAGAAACAAACACATACTGAGATATTTGAAGTGTTGAAGGTCTTGTTCATGAAGTGCCCCGCCCCAGACCCCCAGTGCTTAATAACAAACTTTAAGTATTTATGGTGATGGGGGATAAAAGCAACATAACAAACCTGTGGATCACTCAAATGCTTCATTAGTTACTAGGTGTCTCCTTTCCCACTCCCACTGTTACAGATTTACTCAAAGAATGGAATGAACTAGTTTCCTGTCACTCTCATACTTACTCTCTTGAAAAGTCATGAAAAAGGTTGGGAGTAGGTAGGAAAAGGGGCCAGGAGAGTTGCACAGTAAATCACATGACACATTAAACAATTTGCCACGCTTCACCTTCCTATTACACTTCTCTTGTTTTTTTCTCAGAGGGCTAAATTTTAACTTCTTAGAGGAAGTGAAGTCTAGAGAAGACCTTTCATTTAGAAAAAGTAGGATGGGTTTCCTGCCACCTCTCCTAGGGTTGTTCTTGTCCACTGTATTTCTACCATTACAACTCCACCTCTTCTGTCTATCTCTTTTCCACTTCTGTCCAGAGCCAGGCACCTACCTGGGTTTTGGAGTACACAGAACCCGAGATATCTGGCACGCCCGTGTTACTGGAGGTGACTGAAACACCTGGGGGAGGAGGAAACAGACAGGAGGATTAGCTCAGCTAGCTACCTGGCCCTTATTCCTGAGGTGGTATCTGTAGCCTTTCTAGCTATACCAATGCAAGGGAATTTTGGTTGATTTTCCAGCTTCACGTCAGTCCTGAGAGTTAAGAGTTTATGAAACAAAAGCTTCGTAAGGGTTCTTTGGACCTTTCCAGGTGTGTGTTGAGTATACATGAGAGAGTGAGGTTGTTTTTTTGGTGGGCAAGGGAATATGACCAAACCTCACTAGCATATACTGTTTCAAAACACTTCTGTGCCAAAGTCTAGCAGGAATATAATAAACTTTTAATTTTAATGTCCATTTCAAATCAATCCACCCAAACTCCACTCAGTTTTATTTCTGGAGACTCGGGCAGTCTGGCCCTCTCTCCTCCTGAAGTGACATTTCTGGGCTCAAAATCCATGCCTCCACTGCATAAGTACGAGAGGAGCAGTTCACTTTAATCCCCAAGGGCACTCTCATTCTCATAGCCTCAGCTCAGCCAGTCCAGCTTCTTTAGTCTTGGAGCATCTAGGCTAAATCTTTAAACTTAATATGTAAAGGCCTGCCATCAAGATCAATTTCCATGTACACAATTTAAGCCTAAGTGTAGTGGGGTGGCGAGGGATAGGTAGACAGGTGTAGGCCATCTCCTATAGCCTAGGTGGAACACAAAAACCACGTCATTTTCAGTATACAACTTCAGCTTCTCTGTAAGATAAAGTTCTAACCCATACCCCAACTCTTATATTTCCTGTTGAAAACTCCCTACTAACCACTACAACCTTAAAGAAACCAGAGTAGTACAACATGTCATTTTAATTTGTACTCCTCAAATACTCATACTATACTCTATCACCTGGGGTATAAGGCAATGGGTCAAGGAGATAGGAAAAGCCATGAAATAAATAATCTAACATCTTTTAAACTTTCCATTTTTAAACAAAGATTTGAAGAAAAGTAAGTAATTTAGGAATATAAAGCATGATTTTAAAAAGATATATTAGTTTTTATAAAAATAAAACGAAGCTTCAGAAAAACTTTGCCTTTCTGTCTATGCCCTTGGATCCTTCCCATCAGAGGTACACATTTCCTTCTCCTCTGCTGTCAGGAACACTGATGGAAAAGTGTTTTAGAAGCACTGTACTAGAGTGGCCAAATCACAAATAAGGAATCCTCCATTCACCCACAATTCAAACTCTAGAACCCAAATCCTCCCAATGCCTCAGACAAAGGCAGCCTTCCAAAGTTAAGCCCATCTTGAACAGTCACTTTTGAAGTGGTATCTTAATCTGGAAAAACTTCCCAACATCCTAAGTCCAGATAATTCCTGGGAGGGGCAAACACTAACTAGGAAAAATAACAGAACTACAGAAAACCAAGCAAGAGAAAATACTTCCTTATCTCCAAAGCATCAACTGTCTAAAGACAGTAAAAGAAGGGAACGATATCTTAAGGGGCTAATGGGTATTTTTTCCGTTCCCTTTTCAAACCTGAGGTGCCCATCTAGCAAATCACTGGGTAACAGTCATAACTTTTAAGAACAGAAGGTTCAGTTATGGAAAAGGCTTAAGCTAATAGTTTGTGTGGAAGAGTTGAGAGTAAAGGTGGAATAAACAGGATATAAGTAGAACATTTTTAAGTCAAACCAAAAGAGACAATTTACTGCAAAGGCAAAAAAAAAAAAAAAAAAAAAAAAAAAGCGTATTTGGTCACTCTCTGCAGTGAGGCTAGGCTGCCTATATCTAGGAATGGCAGAAATGACTAACTGGATGTTCAAGCTGGGTGGTAGGGAGGAATTCAGCTCCAGTGTGCCCCTACCTGATCTCATTCTTTCCAGAGTTTAGGCTAAAAATAACTTCTAGTCCAGAGGCCTTATCTTGGATATGAGGTTGAAGGGACTGGGAATGCAGGAACCATAATACTCTGTAGTAGCCATAATAATCTCAATGATAGTATTAGAGACCTAGAAAATAATGGGTACTGATTTCACTACCCCTTACCAGTTATTAGAAAGATCTTCAGACTACAGAGTTCTCTTGCTTTCCTTCCAACATCAACACCCCCTACTTATTTCCAAACAGTGACAATACCAGTATCACGTGGGCAGCAGGGCACAGAAACATGAATCTCTCTCTCCCACCATGGCAGCCCCTGGGAAAGGTGGTCACACTCCACAGAACAAAATTACTCCAAAGGGCTGGGAACAAATACAAGGAAAGCTGAATACTTTGGTTTCTAATTAACCCAGGGTGGTGATCTCACTGTCCACATTAACTGTATAAACAAAGGGCTAATGTTGTATGCTAGCTGGACTGGGAGGGAATTAGAATTTCCACAGTCAAGGAGATGTCTGACCAAACCGCTCCCACACATCCTTAGCTTATACCCGCAAATGCAAAACTGATAATCCAAGATTTCTGAAAAGCCATCAAGGGACTAAGAACAATGTTCCAGGATAGCATAGTCTCCACAGAGCCTGAGTCATCAACTAGCTGATCACTAATGACTTTATCAGATCTTAGCCACTTGGCCTTTAGGAACCAGATAGATGCGGGAATTAAGCCTTGGAAGATACTTCTCTAACAGCTCTGAACACTATCTCTTTTGCCTTTCACCATGACATGACACTCCAAACTTTTTTGTCCTTTCCCCCACTGCTTATGTAAGAGGCAAAGGAAAGATCTAAATGGAAAAATGAAGCAACATAAACATAGAGAATTGGGGATTTCTACAAAGTTTCCTTTACCAACCAATCAACAGGCAGGAAACTGAGGCTATTTCCCCTCCCCCCACCTTCATGAAACTACCATACTGAAAAATTAATAGTTCTTTGGCTATGCTGGGGTTTGATTAAAAAGGCCACCCTCCACCCTTCATTCATAGCACAGCATTGGTTCCTAGTGTCCAGAAAGACATGCACGGAAAGAACGCCAGAGTTAGCTAAAGAAATACCACAGTTTATTGAAGACTACAAATATTTTTGTTACAAGTTGAAACTACATGCCTTCCAGAAATCAAAAGCAACAGCGGGTGTGTGCATTGATGCTTCGAAGGTGCTGCACCGCTTGAACTTGAAATGGGTAAGACAGGGTCAGACACATGGGGGAGAGGGAAATGGGGGAGGGGCAAGTTCAAAAGCCCAGAGGGTATCCACCAACTCATTTCCCCAAGCCACGCAGGCCATGGCCTCAGCTCAGCAGGCTCTCCTCAGTGGTCTGGTTTCTGAAACAAGACTTCAGTGCAAATTTATACACACACACAAAACACAGCCCCCAGCCTTGGGCCAAATTAGCTCTCAGCCGTCCAGAAATGCTTGTAAGGGGGTGGATATTTTCTTCCTAAAAGGAATCAAATACATAAAAATAAATGAATGGAATGACAAAAGCCCTTTGTGGGGTTGGGAACTAGGGGTTCTCAAGGGCTGATATAATACGTTTCTGAATTCTGAAGGGAGGCAAGAAGCTGGGATTTCTAGAATCAGGTATGCCAATTCTCCTATATTATCAATCACCTACCTCTTAAAATTTGTGAACCTGGTCCAACTAAGACTTCAACCTAATGTCCTCAGAACGGGGCCACCACTCCAAGTCAAAAAGCTTATAATCCTCCCCACCAAGATTCAGGGTGGACCTTGCTCGATAAGAGGAGTGGCCACAAGGAGTCTATGTATTAAATCTCAATGGAGCTTCTCAGGATTTAACTGATGACCCACTCTAACTCATAAAGCACAGTTCAAAGCTCCACCTGGCTATCAGTTCCTAGTCCTTACTGCCTTCTGTGCTGTTCCCAATTATTGAAAACTGTGGGCAACTGACCCACCCAGAGCCCACATAAGGGTGAAGAACACATGCTGCTCTATCCAAATCACCATGAAACTGTAACTGAGCTGACAGCTTTGAAGGACAACCCCCATCCCCAATCCTAAGCAATCACAGAAACCTGCTCCTCCCCTATTCATCTACAAGTCGCTGAAAAAGTACAATTATATTATTCAAAGATTTCTTCTCGCTCCCTGTCCTCCAAAAGTAGAGCACAGATGTCAGGTATGGAAGCAAGGGAGAGGCTGAGTATCTTTTAGGTAAGTACCCATCCAGAGGATTCCTACAATTCCCTCCTGCCATCACATATGTAAACGGACTTTGCAAAGAGACCAGCCATACAAATGAAGGAACCTAAAGGCCCAACTCTCCCAGTACAGTTCCCACTTTATTGAGTAATAGTCACGCCTACTCCTTTTCCTCCATGGTTTAGGTCTTCTAGCTAGGGAATAAAAAAGGACACATAAAAGTAGTGCTACAAAGTGATTTAAGCCAAACTTATCGTAGTCTGCTAGCTATGAACCCACTTAATGCTACTACTCAGTGAATATACCCCCTTTTGTATTATCAGTGCCATACATATTATCAACACTTGCCTCCACTGACATTTCAGCAAAATCTTGGGGCTCCTTGCCCTACCTTCCACCCACACTTTTGGCCAACCAACATATTCTAAAAGCCAACACATACTCTTGGGCATTCCTGTCACAAAGAGTGGACACATGTCCTAGTATCAAGCTCCTCTGCTGGTGCTGCTCCCACAGATACCCAAGTCAGCCAAGTATTAACAATCATACCTGGGGCAGCGGTACACCCTCACCAACCCCATTTTCTTAAGCACCAAGTCTTCCTCCCTGAAATTTATCTAATAACACCCCACAGATACCACCGAGCCAGGGACAAGGTCAGCTTACCAGTGTTGTATCCATGAGACCCATATCCACTCGGCTGTTGGAAAGGGGTGGCCGATGCATTCACACTGACATTCACACCATGCTGCTTGGAAGAGGTAGGAGCCACCTAAAGAGCAAAAAGGCCAGACTTGCAGTGACGTGGCAGCAGAATACCATCTGTCCCACTTGTCCTGCTCCAGGTACTGGACATTCAGATGGCTACCTATCCTGATGCAGGTTGACCACAGCTTGCTTAGTGAAATTAGCTCCTTACTAACCGTTCTAGAATCTACTAATGAAGTCAAGAATTGGTAGTTTGGAGGAAGAAAAAGGGACAATGGCAGCAGGGAATGAATGAATCTGAGTGAAGCAAAGCTGTATGGTATCATATTCTCCCTTTGGCAAATTCTAAGACCAGGCAATCCCTATCCTAATTCCACCAATTCCAGCCCCATTCCCCCATCACCCTGCACCAGGCCAAAAACAGGCCAGAGGTGGAAACTGTTCCTCCTCATCCATTATTGAAGTCATTGATCCTTAAAAGCAGCTAGAATAGTGTCCAGGGCTAGGATCCTTCACCACAAGGAGTGACCAAAGCCAGGTACTCACAGGGAACACAGCAGGCCCATACTGGAAGGTGCTGGGGAGGCCCGGGACCCCTGTATAGTATGGCAGGCTGGTGTAACTGTAGCCAGGAGGCAGCGCCGGGTTCAGGAATGTCTGCTGCGTGGTATGGTGAGTCTGCGTCTGGTTCTGTTGGGGTTGGGCCAAGGTTGTGGCCGGGGCTGGGGAGGAGGCATCCCCACGGCCGAACTTTGTGAGGTCACCTGTGACAGGAGAGGCTAAATGTACCTGCCTCTTTCACCCCAATACCAATGCAGAATTACCTCTTCTGGTTTCACATGATTCCAGGAGATCCTGTTCAAAGACTATTAAAGTTCAATTCCTTGAATTACATTTCTGAGTGGCTCCAATTAGTGTTGCTCAGCATATACTGAGCACAGTTGCTGTAAGCCAAGGACTAGTGTTGAATAACTGTGCAATGCTATGGCAGGGACAGGCTCCTGGAATAAGGCACCTGCACAATTTCTCTGCCCACTTGTGTTCTCTTTCATCTTCCCCCTTCTTCCCTCCCCTCTTCTCCTCCATGGGGAATACCCCATGCTGGACTTGAAAGACAATGATGGATCAGGGAAAATGGTAAGTCAATGAGGACAATGATAGGTCAGGTAAAAGAAGAAGGCCCCAGATCTAGCAAGGCAGTGAGATTGCCACTGTGAGTAGCATAAAGGGGCAGAGATGAGCAGAGAAGACCACATCGACCACTGTACTTCCTGGAAAAAGCTAGCAAATGGCTTGAAACTAAGTCAAGATATCACTTTTTTGGAGATGGGGTCTTGCTATGTTGCCCAGGCTGGTCTTGAACTCCTGGGCTCAAGCAATTCTCCCACCTTGGCCTCCCAAGTAGCTGAGACTACAGGTGTGTGCTACCATGCCTGGCTAAGATATCATCTAGAAATCACAGGGAGACAACAGAAAGTGGGATGAATAGGAAAAGCCACTACATGCCCAACTTTAGCAGGATTTTGAATCTACCAATCCTGATTTATCACATTCCTTCTTGCTACCAATCAGGTTTCTGCCATCAATCCCAACACTATCTCCCTTTTTATTTATTTAGTCCCATCCCAATCCTACCAGAATAAGGGTTGCTGGCCAGGCTACCATCCCTCCCAGTCAGCGGAGTAGTGGGTGTGGGAAATGGGATGCTGTAGTAATCCTAGAAAAGAGGGAAAAAAAGAGCAGACATTCAATGTCACTCATTCCCCAGCATGAGTATTATTTCCACAGAGGAAAGAACAGAAGAATGTGAGAGTTGTGCAATTTATCCAGTCGCTAATTAAGCTGCCTAGAGTTAGCACAAACTCCACATTACTCTTGCATACACTGTCCCCCTTGCCTGGCCATGAGCACAGTCAGGCAAGGTCTACGGGTATGCCCACTTGAGAATATGTCAAAGTCCATGAGGACCAATATTTTCAGCACTTTAGATGCCATCCCTATCAGTTTATACCAAGCTTATTCTACTGAGAAAACAGATCATTCTGTAATTTAAAGTGACTGGGACAAACAAAAAGCACCCTGAGTGCTCCAGATTACTAGGCTATAGATTAGGTTAAATGGCATTTACTAAGATGCCACAACTCTGATTTAAAAAAAGAAGAAAAAAGGCTGGGTGCGGCGGCTCACGCCTGTAAGCTCAGCACTTAGGGAGGCAGAGGCAGGTGGATCACAAGGTCAGGAATTCAAGACCAGCCTGGCAAAGATGGCGAAACCCCAACTCTACTAAAAATACAAACAAAAAATTAGCCAGGGGTGGTGGCGGGCCCCTTTAATCCCAGCTACTCGGGAGGCTGAGGCTTTGACCCAGGTGGCAGAGGTTGCAATGAACCAAGATGACGCCACTGCACTCCAGCTTGAGAGACAGAGTGAGACTTTGTCTTTTAAAAAAAAAAAAAAGTTATCTTCTATTGGAAACCCTCCCCCAAATCCCTATATTCTAATATGCCTTAGATCAGAGTGTATGGAGGACTGGGATGGGAAAGAGCTATGTCTGTGACTGAGGTAATTCTCCCAACACTAATTTTAAGACTACTTTATTTTCCAAAGCTCTATCCCACATACTCACCAATGGAAATCTTGTCTGAAGCATCTGCAAGTCATCATAACCATATACTTGTGGCTGAAAGATACAGATATATAGCAATAACAGGAACTGGTCATGATGTTAGCAAACTAAGGAGCCAAGAGACAAGCTAATTCAACAGAATATTCATCCTCATTCTGGGTTAGAACAGGACACGGATTATTTCCTTCAATTTTATTTAAGGAAAAAGCAGTAAAGTACAAAGAGATTAAATGATTCATGAAAGGTCTTGAAGCTTTCCTTGAGCTAAATACTACTGATTCTAGTAGGCTGGCTTCTTGATACCAATAGAGTAGACACAAAATATACATGAACAACCAGTTTTACTCTCTATTCTACAACTCTCTGTCTCTTATACTCTTCAAAATCTGGCTTAAAAATAATCTCCTCCATAAAGAATATTTTACTTTTCTCCAATTTCAGGGTTTTAAGGTAGTGACTACACATTAAAAATGTGTAACTGTGTTATTTGGATGTGTCAGCAGTATAATATTTATCTAGACTTTGTCTCTGAGGGCAGGAACAGGTATCTTTTTTAAAACTTTTTCATATACCCTTCATCTTAATAGCTACCAAATACTTGAAGGTCAAGAAGACACTAGGGCAAAAAGCTACTACTACTATCAGCCACCCACTTATTCTCAAAGTCCCAGACTGAGTCAGGAAACTTTCCTCTAACCAGGCCAGACCAGCAAATACACTCAAGAGTTACAGATTTAATCAAATCAGAGAAAATAATTCTTAGGGCCAGGAGTAGTGGCTCAGGCCTATATATAACCCCAGTTCTTTGAGAGGCTGAGGCAGGAGGACCACCTGAGCCTGGGATTTTGAGACCAGCCTAGGCAACATACGAAGACCCTGTCTCTAAAAAAAATTTTTCAAACTTAGCCAGGCATGGGGATGCACACCTGTAGTCTTAGCTACTTGGGGAGTCTGAGGTGAGAGGATTGCTTGAGCCCAGAGTTCAAGACTGCAGTGAGCTAGCTATGATTGTTTCACTGCACTCTAGCCTGGGTAAAAGAGCAAGATCTGTCTCAGAAAATAAAATAATAGTCATAATTATCTAAGACACTAAAAAGGATTCTAGATGAACATTCTGGCCTTTGGCTTCTGAGGCCCAGAAGTTGTATTTCAAACAGGGCAGATATTCTCATCACACATATACATACATATTGTGCACACACACATGCATACATGTGTGCACCATAAACCAGAGCAGATATACAATAGATGGGTTGGCCTCAGTTTAGTCCATTAGTACTTTTTCCAAAACTGCAAAGATTAAAAACCAGTTTGATTACATGTGGCAATTCCTCATTTATTTTATATTTTAATTACAGTTGACCCTTAACACAGGTTTGAACTGCATGCTGTTTATACGTGAATCTTTTCCAACCAGACACACAGATCAAAAATACAGTCACATTTACAGAATGCAAAACCCATATACATGGATTCCACAGAGCCAACTGCAGGGCTTGAGTATGTGCAAGTTTTGGTATTCACAGGGGTCCATCTGAAGCCAGAGCTATAAAAAGAGCAGCCACAGCATCCTCACCTTTTGAAGAAGATCCTTTAGTCCCACTTACCGGGTAGGCATGTAACAGCCCTGGAGCCATAATATACGGATTAGGCAACAACGGCGGGACCCCAGGAGGGAGGTTGGGAGGAGCTTTTCCTAAAAGAGAAATTACATTTTTATCCTATCACACAATTACTTACCTCTTCCATCCCAGAGGAATGCCATCTGCTTATGCAAGACTACCTGAAGTCGTAGCAACTGAGCTTCGAGTCGAGGCTGTGACAGTGGAGTTGCTGCCTAGGCTGAGGCCCAGGCTACTGCCACTATTGAGACTGGAGGAGACACTGACCACTGGGGGAGGTGCAGAGACTGTGCTGGATGTGGTGGAAAAAGTGCTGGAGGAAGAATGGAGATTCGCCTCACTCTCCACACTTGTGTGCTTCAAAAGGGGGAGCAGTGGAAGAGAGAAGAAGAAAAGAGATCAGCGTCACAGGTCAGGAAAAATAAGATAAGACAATCCCTCCTGCTGAATATATTATTATGTCAACTTCCTAATTAAAGAGACCAAGTAGGCAAGGTACCAAAGTACATTCTGCTAAAGTAGTTAGAAATAATCTCCAGCTACATATTCCTCAAGACTCATCTGGCATTCGAATGGTAACACACTCACTGCACATCATCATCCTGTTCAGAAAGACAGTAACGCAAATGGAGACAGATTCCTCAGAGACTAACATTGGTTCATAAAGGAACAGAGAGAGTTGAGATGTAAAAAATACATCACAGCTTTCTCTCCCCAACTTTTCTTTACTAGTTGAGACCAGTTTGTGGACTAGGAGAAAGCAAAAATTCTGATTTTACTTTTTTTTTTGAGACAGGGTCCCATCTGTTGCCCAGGCTGGGGTGCAGTGGTGCAATACTGGCTCACTGCAACTTTGGCTTCCGGAGCTCAAACAATCCTCCCACTTCAGCCACCCGAGTAGCTAGGACTCTATGAGTGTACCACCAGGCTTGGCCAACCTTCAAAAAATCTGTGTGGGGATGAGGTCTCACTGTATTGCTCAGGTTGGTCTCAAACTCCTGGGCTCAAGCAATCCTCCTGCCTTGGCCTCCCAAAGTGTTGGGATTACAGAGGTGAGCCACTGCACCTGGCCACAATTCTGACTTTAAACCTGAAACTGTGTATTTGAACAGAGACTCCTAAAGGAGCCTTAGCCCTCATATCTCCCAGGCTTCTGGCAAATCTGACACTTTTGTCCAAAATGGGTCCTTCCCTTTACAGGCTCAGCTTAATTCTATTAATAGTTGTTACAAATCGAAACAACAAAATTGACTCTTGGACCAAAAGCTCTCAACTGGCATCTACCTTCACAAAAATGTCCAGCCTTGCACTGATTCTTTTCAGAACTCATGTTTGGCATACCCAAGACCAAGAAAAGAGAACAGCCCTACCAGTTAGAAAGGTATGTTCTTCCAGAATTTATTAAAGCATACAAAGCCCAACTATATATTCAGTAGGGGGAAAAAGTCAGAAAGTCACTTTCAGGGCTTTTAGCAATGGCCCAGAGCTCAATGTTTAGGGATTGTTCTGCCTCTCTTGGCTTCCTAACATCCCTTTACTCGTTTTCCTGCAACCTCAAATCAATTATTTTGCTGACTCATGAAGAAATTTTCAATAATTCTCTCTTGGGACAATCTTAGGGTTGGATAGTTCTAAGTGTAAGAAAACCACACATCCCTCTCTGCATCACACTTACCAAAAGAGTGGATGTCGAAGTGCGCCCAGAAGATGTTGATGATGAAAGGGTATTCTGCTGCGTTGATAACGTGCTGTCAGAATAAAAGAGGTTGCCATCAGCCATAGTGCTATAGTTACCTGACCTAGAGCTTCAGTCAAGAACATAACAAGGAAATAAGAGATAATATGAGACACCAAGGAGGTCTGAGATCATATATATGTTAAGCACAATGCCCAGCCAGGGCTAGTCAGCAGTTAAAGCAAAAGTGGATGTTGAAAAGGGGAAAATTAAAACAAGCCTCCTCTGTCTTCACTTCCCACAGTTCTCAGGTCACCCACTTATCACAAAAGCAGGGCTAATGTGGTCTCTGCCAGGTCAAGGGAATAAGAAAGAACCAGAGAGCTCTGTTACTGCTATTCACCAACCCCAACCTCCATCCTCACCCCAAATCACCTGCTGTGTTGTGTGGTGGTAGTATTTGGAATCTCCTCACTGTGGCTCAAGCCACCCAAGGAGGATGAATGCTGATTGGTTGTCGTCAGTAAGGAAGCTGCAGATACCGTTTCATTGAGAGGGGGGATGCTAGAAGTGGAAGGTGAATCAGATTTCACTGCAGAGCCTGTAGCACCTAGAAACATAGAAAGAAGGAAGTCCACTTATCAGAAAAAAGGGAATGTCTATAAGCGGTGACTACAGTCCCAGGCTGCTCCAAAGACAAGAGGATGAGTTATTTAACAGTGGACTGTATTACGTAGAATCTTTTTTCTTTAATGCTGAGAATTACACAGCATAGGTCTCATTTGTCCAATGAAGGGAACTAATGGATTATCACCATTTTAAGATAGAAAACCAGAAACGTAAGAGGGGAAAAGCCTGAAGAACACTCACCTTCAACAGATTGTGTGGTCTGTAACTGCGTGGCCTGCACAGAACTGAAGCCATTCTGGTAAAAAAAAACAGAAGAGCAAGAAACAGACAAACTCATGTGAATGAGGCAAGTTAGCACTGATTCAGCTTTATTTTGGTCAACAAATCTTTAGGAGAAATTCTGTAAATTAACCAAAAGGATTAATATTAATACAATGCAGACTATCCAAAAAACCAAAATAGTAACAAAAATTAAACAACAGAACTGAGATATACCAACACTGTGTGACCAAAAGCAAAAGAAGGAAACTCTACAAATTGCTGAAGACACCCCAAACCTAAAACAGATAGAGGAAAGGCCCAAAGTCCACATTCAGTGATTTTTGGGGAAGGATGAGTACAACAGTTCAGTCATACCACCTATTCCACTGGCAGCATCTGACAGTCACTCATCATCACCTCTGGCATATGCTGTCTCCCTCACCATGCCAGGACATAGCAAGGTGAGGTCTACTGACATGCACCCAGAAATCTGGCAATCACATCTTCCCAGAAGACAGGACACGCACTTGAGACTGATTCTACCAGTGACAATGAATTTTTTGTACAAGAGAATGGTTTCCTGACTCATCAGTCTCCAGGTTTGCTGATAAGAACTTTTAATTCACTAATCACAGATGTGTGCCTTTTTCATATTCTCAATCACTACTTCCAAAGTTTCTTTGCACCACTTGCTGAAAAGTAAAACACTAATATTTAAGGAATTTTTGCCCACTATTCTCCTAACCAATTCCCAGGGGTTCACGAAGCCACTACCTTTGCCTGAGTCAGGTCCTTTTGGGGTGATGAAGAGATGGAGCTGGGGTACCGCCGAGTCTGTGTGGATCTCTGTTCATAAAGAGGGCCCTGAGCATTATTTTGGGAGGTATAGGTTGTCGACTGAATTGGGCCGCTCTGATAACCAGACTCCTGACTCTGGTTAGATGAAATTGTAGAGGAAGATTCACTGTAAATAATGAAGAAAAAAATCTCAGACAAACAAAATAGATCAGATCTACTGATACTAAGGAAATTGTGGAGATCTACTAGTGGAATAACTTGATTTGAATCAAGAAATTTTTCAGCAACAAGTAAAAGAATCTATCAAAATTTTCTCCTGATAACACTAGGAATCCCTACCTTCTATAGTGCCAGAGATCTAAATTAAGAATTAATCTTAAAAACATCTAGGCTGGGTGCGGTGGCTCACGCCTGTAATCCCAGCACTTTGGGAGGCCGAGGCGGGCGGATCACGAGGTCAGGAGATCGAGACCATCCTGGCTAACACAGT